TTTCATTGAAATACTGGTACATCTTGTGACTGGGACTGAGCTTACTGGTATCATAAATTTGACTCTGGCGTTCAATGTGTTCTACATCTARATCKATTGCAACTGTCTTACTTTGCTCTTCTTTTGACAAAACCTAATACAAAGCCATATTTCAAAATATAATATAATTAGATTTTAAATTAGATTTAGTCCTAATTATAGATAGATATGATTGTTTTGCTGTATCACCTACWTACAATGTATATGGGATACAGGTGTTATGGTACAGGTGTTATGGTAGTCAACGCTTTGCTTGATGTGCAGTCATAGTGAAAAGCTACAGTTAAATAGACTATTAAACAGAACTTACAACGAGTTCAGGTCKAACTGCAAMTGTTCCATAATTGCCAACTACTAATGTTGCTTGCTTTGTTTTGGATATTGAAATGTCTTGTACCTTTATTWATGTAAAAGGAACATCAAATTGTTTCAATTGTTTCTAAATTATTTTCAYAATTTATCAACCTAACAACACACATGCACAGATTTCAAAAAAAGTTGTCATCACCAAAAGCTGCATACACAAACATAGATCATGTGCAACTCTGTAAGCTCAGTTATAAAGATAATTTGCTTAGACTGCAAGTCTGCAATATATGATTATACCATGTAAAACAGTCTGAAGTTTAAATAAACCACAATAATAATAATTCACTGGGCATTATATCATCATTGTCATTATTATTTAAATTGACAGGGAACTGATAAAGCATATACAAGTATATTTTGTACKTTGTTTTCACTTTCTCCTCSTAATGCTGCCCCATATMCATTTTGCTTTACAGTCTGACATAGTGAAAACTGAAATAAATAAATAAAATATTAAGATGGGGATCAAAGCTTCTTAAAAAAGTAAACATATTAATAGAGTGCATTCAGTTTAGCAAATTGTTAAATTTCCTGGATATACTGAGTYAACTCTCATACATAGARGTGCTTGGTTTATGGGAATMTTATTATTTGTATATTTGTGATGACATCTTCCTTTTTTGACTCTAATACAATAAAATTAAATTTTTATACCTCTTTAGCATGTTTTAAAATGGCACAAATATCTCCAATTCGAACCACCCCAAGATCCTTTAGAATGTCTTTGGTCAATTCTGAGACCATCTCCTTCTGCATACTGTATAAAAAAA